TGCTGGGACCAGCCCGACACGGAGGGGCCGTCCCCGTGTGACCCTCGTCCGTGACACATCCCAAAGGGGCGGGGCCAGAGAGACGGGGTGGACAGGGCGTCCTCGGGGCTGGAGGGGCAAGGGGAGTGACAGCTGGTGGGTCCGGCGTCTCCTTTTGGGTGATGGAAAGTTCTGGAGCGAGACAGGTGGTGACTGCACAGCCTGTGGATGCACCAGCTGCCACCGAGTCGAGCACTTTGTAGCGGTTGGCATGGATTTTGTGTTGTGTGGACTTTGTCACATGCACACGCAGACACGCCCCTCACACCCACCCCTGTGCACACGCAGACACGCCCCTCACACCCACCCCTGTGCACACGCAGACACGCCCCTCACACCCACCCCTGTGCACACGCAGACACGCCCCTCACACCCACCCCTGTGCACACGCAGACACGCCCCTCACACCCACCCCTGTGCACACGCAGACACGCCCCTCACACCCACCCCTGTGCACACGCAGACACGCCCCTCACACCCACCCCTGTGCACACGCAGACACGCCCCTCACACCCACCCCTGTGCACACGCAGACACGCCCCTCACACCCACCCCTGTGCACACGCAGACACGCCCCTCACACCCACCCCTGTGCACACGCAGACACGCCCCTCACACCCACCCCTTGTGCACATGCAGACATGCCCCTCACATCCACCCCTTGCGCACACGCCCCTCACACCCACCCCAATGCACATCCCTCATGCCCACCCCTCGTGCACGCACACACACACACACACACCCCATACCCACCCCTCGCGCACGTGCACAGAAGCCCCTCACGCCCGCCCTCTCCTCCAGCCACCACATCGGCCTCAGCATCGACCCCGCCGTGACGGCCGTCATGAGCATCTTCAGCCTGGTGACGGGGAAGAGGCCGCTGTTTGCGGCTCACGGGGGCAGCAGCAAGGAGAACCTGGCGCTGCAGAACGTGCAGGTGCGCCTCCCAGCCCCGCCCCGTCCCCGCGTGACACTGACCCTGCGGCCTCCTGGACCGGGCCCAGTCGGAGTGTGCACGTGTGTGTGAGTGTGTAAGGGTCAGGGTGCGAGACAGTGTGCATGTGAGTGTAAGTGTGCAAGAGTAAGCGTGTCTGAGGGGGTGCGTGGGTGAAGGTGTGTGTGAGCACAACCACGTGTGAGTTTGAAAGTGCGAGTGAGGTGAGGCTGAGTGTGCATGTGGGTGCTGAGCACCTGTGAGTGCATAAGTGTGTGTGTACATGTGCACAGAGTGGGTGTAGGGTGTGAATCGGCATTGGTGTGAGCGTGAGATGGGAGTGTGCACGGAGTGTGTGCATACAGTGTGTGTGCAGTGTGTATATATCTGAGTGTGTGCACAGTATGTGTGTGTGTGTGTGCACTGTGTGTGTGTACTGTGTATGTGTGTGCACAGAGTGTGTGCAGTGTGTGTGTGTGTGTGTGTGTGTGTGTTCTGCATCTTTGGTGAGTGGCTGCCTCCGGGGAGCTGGACGCTGGCGGCTGCCCTGAGCTCCGGCTGCTCGCGGCGGGCCTCTCTGTCCCTTCCGCCGGGCATGGCGACCTCCCCTCCTCCAGGGAGGCCAGTGTGGAGGGAGCAGCCAGGTTCCTCCCGGCCACTGTGCAGCCCAGTCCCGCCACCATGATTTCGAACCTATGACACGCATGTCAGAGGTGACACGCGAACTCATTATTTTGGTTGATTTTTCTTTGTTAAATGGCATTTAAATATCTAAAATAAATATCAAAAATATAAGTCTTGGTTTTACTGTGGTTGCAGATATCAAAAAGTTTCTATATGTGACACAGCACAGAGTTAAGTTAGGGTTTTTCAAAATGCCGACACGCCGAGCTCAAAGGTTCACCATCACTGGTCCGCCTTTGACTCGGCCCTGCCCAGCGCCCATGGGCACATTGATGGGCAGCCCAGGAGGCATAGCAAGGTGCCCGCACGCCGCCTTCCCGGAGCGAGGAAGCCGACAGCCTCGACGGTCCTGTCCCAGG